AATAAAACTGTTTCCTGCTATCTTCAGTGCCTTGTCAATCTGCCCTACAATATTATAAAACTTATTTGGAAGTTATTGTTTTCTGTACTTTAAAAATGTTCCACCCACGTCTATTTGATCATTTGTATTTGTCCTTCAAAATCATAGATGATCTGATTTTCCTCTTAAAGAAGTTAACATCCTTTTACAGGATGACTTATCAGGCAAAGAATCTGGGTGTGTATGAGGTGGGTGGAGGTGGATACTGATGATATTCCCCACACAGAAAAACGTTTTGGAGATTGTGAAGAATAAATAGGGTTCTTAAAACAATTAATTTTTAAAATATTTATTTGTCACGACCCCCTTGCCCGCAAGGAAGATGCGACTCAGGAATCTTCTTTCAGCAGTTTATTCAGGCCCTTGATATTCTTCTAATGATTCTTCTACTACCCGGAATAATAATTGGATGCCCCTCCCAGCCTTAATAAAGCACCTCGAACCCCAATGCAAAGCTGCCACGTGTACCCTTCTCACAGGGTGCTAGAAAATGACACGCCAACTTTCTCTGATAAGGAGTTGTCCTTCACAGACCACAACGGAGCCAGCGCCATCATGTAATGGCGACCACAGTCCGCAGGAACGGCTCACCACATTTATTTATTTATTTTAATTAGTTATATATTTCAGAAGAATGGTTTTGATTCATTGTACACAGTTGCACAGTTACAGCAGCTGCAACTTTTCATTTCTCTTATTGTATATGATGTAGCGTCGCACCATATGTGTGGCCATACATGTACCTAAGGTAATAATGTCCATTACATTCCACCATCTTTCCTGCTCCCATACCCCCTCAACCATTTTCTTTTCTTGTTTATACTAATAGAAAATTTTTGTAACAATTTATATTTTGCAGAAATACATATTAAACGCAGTTTTCTATAACTTTATCCCAAATGATAATCACTGTGGGGCTCGGATGTAGTTCAGGAGCAGAGCACTTGCCTAGCATGTGTGAAGCCCTGAGTTCTATCCCCAGCACTATAAAAAGAAAAAGGAAAGGTAGTCACTGTGAAAATATTTAACATTATTGTTACAAAAAATGATCATAACATAGTTTGTAACATTTTTTTGCCCATATACCTTTGGCATCTTAAGTTTTTAAAAGTGGGTGCTATTTTAATGGACATAGAAATTTAAATTCACAAATGATGAGTATTAGGTTTTCCAATTTAAATAAACAACATTTCTTTGTCCATGATTTGTATAGTAAGCATTTCTATATGGATGATTCCAAAAAGATTGAGGGGTATGGGCATATTAATTTCATTAGCTATTCTACAAATGTACAAAACAATCATATCTCCACATGCTCCGAAACTGAATATTGCCCATTATTTTGTCTTTAGCAATCTGAAAAAAAAATAATATTTCTTGTTTTAAATTCTTTGTTAGGGAACCTTTTCCTATTCATTATTGTCCTTATTATTTGTGTCTTATAAGTGTCTGCTTGAGTCTTTTGTCAAGACTCAAGCAGACATAAGTTTTTCTATTGGTCTTTTCATGTTTGTATTTTATTATAAGAGGTCTTTGTATGTTAGGAAAATCAGCCCCATGTCTTTTAGGTGTCTGGTATATTTTTATTTTTCACTTCTATTTTGACTTTTTTCATTCAAAATTTTAAAACTTTTTTTTCAAAATCACTTTCATTTACATTTTTCTTTAGGATACTTTGTTCTTATACTTTTCAAAGGCCATCCCCACTCTATAGAAAATATAGCTTTCCAACTTGTCTGCCTATTTCTGCCCTTGCTCAAACCCCTTCACATCCAAGTCTGGTTTTTGGTTTTTGTTGTTGTTTGGTTTTTGTTTTATGTTTTGGGTACCAACGAAAACACCCAGAGGCACTTAACCACTGAGCCACATCCCCAGCCCTTTTTTATATTTTATTTTGAGACAGAGCCTTGCTAAATTGCTGACGCTAGCTTTGAACTTGTGATCCTCCTTCTCAGCCTCCCATGCAACTGAGATTATAGGCATGCTCCACTGCACCCAGCACAAGTCTGCTTTTAATACAGCAACCAGAATATTATTTAGTACCTAAGTTTGATCATGTTATCTCTCTGCTCAGAAGTTTGATCATGTTATCTCTCTGATCTCTTTTACTCATGTGCTCCAGACACATAAGTCATCTTTCTCTTCCTAAGGAGACCTTCAGTGATACACAAAATTATAAGAGGTTATGAGGGGCAAGGGGGAGGGGGGAAAAAGGGGAGAGAATTGAACAACAGCAGAGGAGGTAGAGAGGGAAGATGGGAGGGGAGGGG